GATTTAGAAATATATGTATGCAGTCTGTGTGGAACTAATTGCATTAATGTGATTGTGGTTTTAAGCAAACCTTAAACTGCAGACTGATTTCATTTTGAAGAGGTGAACTGACCAAGAAATAGACATACAGCTGTTTAATGTTTAATGTTTTTCTTACTTTATGCACCACAGATTGTTCTAAGCAATCTAGTGTGTATAGTATTTTGTTCTGTATATCATATAAATTTAATCTTTAAGAGGCAAACTGTTCAAGACATCTTATGATATTAGAAGCTTTGATGTTAAGGGAAAATTGGACTTGGTTGTCATTTTAAAGAAGCTACTCAGAGAGGCTTTGACGATTCAGATCCTTTTTATGGGGTGCGGAGGATGTTTGCTGTATCCAGATCACACAACATCATTTAAAAAAAAATAATGTGGCTGGAAGGTGCAAGGCATTTTTTATTTTTTGTGGATAAGGGCATTTTCATGTAATACAGGTTGTGGAGAAACATAACCGTGTGTTAAATTAAATATAAGGATTTGGTCGATCTTTTTTTTCTTCTTTGCTGATTGACCACGTCCAACCATAAAATATTTCATGCATGCTAAAGAGTAACTAGTTAAGTTGCATGCATAGTTTTTATTTTCTTAGTCCCTTTCAAGATGCTTAATCAATATCCTTGGTAGTACAAGTATTTTGTGTCAACAGTCTGAAACTGAAAACAGACTAGCAGGTATTTGATCTTTCTATTCTACTTTTGACCTGACCTTTTCATATGTGGTCAGATTAAAGTACTTGGGCAGATCAACATTCTACTCTATGGAGTGCAATAGCGTTGTTTGGATTAAACTCACGTCTAATGATGTATAAGTAAATAAAACAAATGTTTTCATGAAGTGTGACACAAATATCCTAACTTCTGACTCATTTTGAAATGTTTGAATGCACGGTGTGACCACTTAATGCACTGAATTGTAACGTGTGTCATATATTAACCAGAGATTCAGATGAATCATCACTCAACATGTTGTTTTTTCCTTTCACATCCTTTTCAAATTACACCACTAATGTATTATGGAAATTTGCTTGCACTTTACCGTATTTTCCCTGAAATATATTTTCTAAACTTTAAACCAGTATCCAATACATTATTTTCCATGGCTGCCATTACTGAAGAAAATTATTTTAGATACCATAATGAAGAAGAAAATAATAACAGAAAAAATGCCCTAATACTGTTTTTCAGTTGTGTTATTAAATGAACTTAATTTGGAAGATTTGTATATATGTGTATATAGGAACAAGTAATAGGTTTCTTCCATGCTGAAAAGAGAAGAAAGAAAACACAACATTTTGGCTGTGGAGCCTTCTTCTATGTGTATATACAGTATGTGAGCCAAGTTCACATAACTGACAGAATTATATCAAGCAATACAACTCTCTTCACTCTTACAGTGCTTTCTTTTCAATTCATTTAGGTTTTGTAGTCTTATTATTTATCTATTCAATAGTTTTTGTGTTTTAATGAAAACAATAATGTGTTCTACATGAACAGTAGGAATCTGAGAGGAAAATTGTTGTTCAAATAATTCCCCATATCTTTGTTTCTCCAAACAAGCCTAACAGGGCGAGTACACAAGTCATGCTTAAAGCGGATAAACAATTAAATTCCCTTTTGTAGAGATTTAAAGTTATAGCTAATAATCAATTTTCACATTAAGCACTCACTGCTGATTCTTAACATTTACCAGTGGATTCACATACAGTATAATTCCTACTAGAGATACAGACTGAAACAAGATTCAGGGTTAAACATCTGAACATGCACAGTTTATTTAGGGAGGAAATAAAATTAACTTAAAAGTTATTTTCTAGTGCATCCAAAAGGAAATGCATTTAACTAAATTAAACTAAGACCAGTGCTAAACTGTGTTTATCTGGTTATTTGGACATGCTTACTTTTGAGTGTTCCAGAACAATTTCCAATGTTCTCTGCCAGTTTAAGTGTAAAGCAAAGTATATATCACAGTTCACTGCATAAAAAATGATGTATTAAGATGCACTGACTACTGTGCTTGGGGTTTCTTCTCTGATTTATTTACATTAACACTTTTAAATTGCTGAGTACTGTGCAAAAGTCTTATTCAAAAATTAAAATATTCATATATAATGAGCATCAGCAATTTATTCAAAGTGTCCATCAGTGTTTCCTCCTATTTCAAAAACTATGACTGCTCTTCATCCACCTTAGTTTGGGTGAACAAAACAAACGTGTTATTTTCATATAAAAATCTTCAATTTACATTCATCAAACTCTCCAAAAACAAGACAATTAGAATTCCACAGAAACCATTCAACACCAGCCAATATGGAGTGTTGTAGAAGCTAATCACATTATCAATCAAATCTGAATACCTAGTCTCCATGCACCTAAAGAAGGCTCCTGAAACATTATTTTCTTTTCACTTTTTAGTGTGGAATTAACCTTCTTTAGCAGCTTGTGTGTGGATGCAGCTTCCCACTTGGAGCAAATCTAACTGGTAACTCGCTGTCAGGTGTTTGGTTATTAACAGCTTTGTTCCCTTCTACATGTTCATGAAGCTAGAAAGCTACGTTTGCACTACAAAATACAGTTGTATTAGAATTGTTAGCTTAACACAAAATTGGTAAAATTCCATTAGACGATTGCTTAGATTTTTGTTTCTGTTTAAAGAAGGAAAAAGCTGGATGAAAAGAGCAGAAAAAATGTCTAATACTTTTGCACAACAGTGTATGAATTCTGTTGTTTGAAACTGTTTTCATTGAAACAGTTGCTTAAATGATAGTATTAATATTGCAATATACCACATGTAAAACATTTGCACTAAATTGGATGTATAGCTGGCATTTAATAGACATTTAATAAATTATTTGGCAAACACAGTACATGAGCACATGTGGTCACGTATTTATGTCAAATTACTGGGGCCATCTGTGGATGCACTGCTGGTAGGGAGCATAACAATCACTAAACTTGACACCTGAATTGCAAGAAGCTGAGAATCAACCAAACAACAGCATGTTAGATGGTGATTGCAGATAGGTGAAAATCCTTCTAACACTACATTTGGTGCTGTGACAACAGAATACTGAAATGAACTTAAGCATAGATTACATCAACATTTGACTCAATCATAAACCATTTAGTCTTTCTACAATTTCCATTGGGTAGATGCAAGACATCTTGGTGACAAACATTTGCAGTGTTGAATTTATCTGGGAGTTCATGTAAGTCACACATTTTCATTAACAATTTGTGACTATATCAAATTGCTTCCAACTTATATAATACCTTTTCTGTAGTGTTTTGCACAAATGCCATTTTGTAAACTGAAATGGTAAAAAAAAACTTATTTTTCTGTGATGACCAACAGTAATTGGATCAAAATATTCAGTATAAATATTGTTTCACCCCCGATTTTATATGACAAACATTTGAGAAATTCAAACAGTTTGTAGGAAGAATTAGCAATAAGTTGAAATAGATTATGGTTGTTGAAAATAAATACAAAAGTATTCCCCTCCTTCCAAAGAGGAATATCCATTGTGTTTACAAATGATGTATACAGACTGCAAAGAAAAATCCCTAACTGAAATACATAGATTGCATAGTAGTCACTCCCTTGATTCAGTACTTGGCGGTAGCTTCTCTGACAGTGATTAAAGCTGATTAAAGCTATCTTTTTGGATAGTGCAAATTTCACCAGTTCTACTTTGCAAACTTGAATAAGCTCCGTCAGGTTGTTTGGGGATCATTAATGAATGGCAGTTTTCAGCTTTTGCCATGGTTGGGTTGATCAATCAGATTCAAGACAGTACTTTGACTGGGCCGCTGATGGAACATTCACTTTCTTCATGTTAAGCCATTCCAGTGAGTCATTGTCCTTCTAAAAGGTGAATTTTTCTCCCAGTTTTAGGTCATTAGCAGACTGAAGCAGGATTTCCTCTAAGACTTTTCTATATTTTGTCCTTCATTTATTTTCCAAGTCCCTACTGATGGGAAACAGGATCATAACCTAATGTTGCCTCAATGACAGTAAAGGATTGTGTTGACTGGGTGAAGCAAAGTGTTGGGTTCCTGCCAGAATTAACGCTTTACATGTATAGCAAAAAGTTTAATTTTTTTCTTGCTTGACTATAAAACCTTTTACCACATGTTTGCAGTATCACTTAAAAGCTTTGTTGCATACTACATGCAGGATTTGGGATTCGTGCCAATGTGCCATACAGGCCAGCTTTGTGAAAGTGACTTGCATATTGTTGACTTACTGTATAAACAGTTTTCTCCCATCTCCAACATTGAACTCCATAGCTTTCCAAAGGTGCTGTTTGCCTCACAGTGGCATCCCAAGTCAGTTTCCTTTTGTGCAGCTGCTTGGTTTGGAAGGATAATTTGATTTTGAGAATTGGCTGGGTGGTACAATATTGCTTCCACTTCTTAATGATCGGCTTCATTGTGCTCAAAGGAATATTCAATGTCTTTGGATTTTGTTCTCACTACTGTTCTGTGCCTTTCTCCAATCTTATGCCTGACTTGTTTTGAATGAGCCTTGGTCTTCATGGTTGAATCTTGACTATCTGACTGATGTACCTTACAGAGACAGGTGTATGTATTCTGAAATCATGTGAACCATTATTATTGCAGACAGAAGCCATTTGACTAATTTTGTGACTTAACAAATTAGTTTTGTGTACCTGAACCCATCCAGATTTACAATACCAAAAGGAATTAGTACTTAGCAAATCAACATATTATTGTTTTTTAGTTTTTTGCTGTTTTCACTGACATATATTTCCTTTAAACTATAAAATTGTTCAGCATGAGAATTCATTTTGATTACAATTTAAAAGCACAAAGAATGTGTTTTTTATTTGTAGTTCCACAAAATGTGATATCAATGGAAGGGGGTGAATACTTTTGCCTGGTACTTTCTTATGCTAATAAAGATGCCGAGAATTGAAGAGTAGATACAAAACATAAGAAACTTCAAATTTTCATTGTTTAATTTGATCTTTAAATTACACACGTAGGAGCAATGTGATTATTTCAAAAAACCTTTATTTCAACTGGTGTTGGCAATATACCAATACTGTTTATAAATGAATGTCATACCTTGATCACCATCTTTAATAAAAAATAAACATTATTGAAGGTGGCTAGTAACTATGGTAAGGTGTGCCTCATTTAATCAAAATATATAAGAAGATCATATTTTTGATATATAATGTAAAATGCTTTAAAAGAAATAAACAAACGTCTTACACTGATCTACATAAATATTGTCCTCCTTGATGGGGCTTTCAACACTGGCTTCATTTTCTTTGAAACGCAAAAGAATGGCTAACTGCTCAACAGTTCGTGCAAAAAAGATAAAGCAGAAGGATCAATTTTACAAAGGAGAAAAAATACAATAACATAAATAATGAACGCCATGCACACGGCAGGGCCAGACACTGTTATCTGGAAACTCGATGCATCTTTTTGTGGATGTTGGTTGTGTGTAACACTAGATTTCCAACAATTGTGAAGCTTGTATTCACATAGATTCCTTTATTTTTTTTTTGTCATGCTTCATAAAATCCATTTACATCCAGCTTTAAGACGGTAGGGTCTTCAATCAGTCCGAGTTAGGAGATTGTTTCTTATTTATTTATTCACTTACTTTTTAATTTTATGTTTAACTTCCTCAGTGGTGTGCCATATGAGTATACAGTATTCCCCTTTTTGTTTGGTACATTAAGTGAGAAGGTTGAAGACTGTTGTTTGCTGAAGTCTATCAGTGGTTCACCAGTAAGGGAAGAAGCCTATGCAAGATCAGAAGGGAAAAATACAAGAAGGGCTCTGTGGTTGCAATGGTTCCACAACCTGTAAAAACAAAGAAGAAACAAACAATGAACATATCATTCACCACTTCACTGGGAACAAGTAGACACCTGAAGAAGGCTGAAGAAGGTGGAATCAAGCATTACTAAGCAACCAAGGGACACTGTCACAGCATTCCAAATTGAAAGTTTCATTAGGTTTTATTTGCACAATTTCAAATATTATTAAACAAAACATCAGTCTGTATCTGATGTGTATTACATTTGACCCATACATGGAAAATTCTGAGACACTACAAGCTTCATACGTTACAGCAGAAATGATATAATTCAGTTTTTCAGTTACAAAACGAAACTGTTTTAGCGGTAACGATGCAAAGTTTTTTTGGGGGGAGACTGCTTACAGAACAATCGGCATTCAGAAACTGCTGATTGGCATTCAATGTGTTTTTATGTTTATAGGGCAGTATTGTCGGCAGCATGGTGCTGCAGCTGCCCTGCAGTGCTGGGGCCCTGGGTTCAATCCCAGACCAGGAGCGCTATCTGTGTGGAGTCTGTATGCTCTCCCTGTGATTGCCTGTGTTTCCTCTGGGGGCTCTGGTTTTCTCCTTGAGTCCCAAAAACATACTGGTAGGTGGGAAAAGTTGCCCTAAGTGTGAGTGTGTGTCTGTGTGTCTGCACTGCACTGGAGGGCTGTACTTTGTCTTGCACTCGTTGCTTTCTGGGATAGGCTCTGGCTCCCCCTCAACCTTGAACTGGAAGAAGTGGTGAGAAAGTGGATGGATATTACAAAATATGTTACAATCAGAAGTCCTTATATTAATACACGCAATATTTAAAACTTGTCTCACTGCACATCTTTTCACAATGAAGTCTGCTGCTCTGAAATCAATCCAAGATTCAATTTAAGACTCACATCCTTTTTTTTTCATAGTTATCTTTAGTTCAGTTATATAATCAAAAATGAATGTCATATGAATTAGATATACAACTGTGAAATTCATATTTTGAGAAAAGTATTAATAACATGTTCAAACTAAACATCACAAGTGTCTTTTAAAAGCTTTGTGCTAAAATGTAAAATATTCACTGTTTCTTACCCCACAAAAGTAAAAAAAGGGTGATAAATTACTTAACTCAGTACAATGTTTTAGTAGTTGAAAAAAAGTAACTTAAAATACCTAAAGAGCAGAATGACTTAGTCAAAATTCCCAATTAAAGTTAGATTTAAAAATTAAAAACCAAAAACCATGCCTTTATTTTCAGAGATACAAGAGTAAGGGTGTTAAATTTCCCTCTGGGTTTGCATTATTCGTCCTTTCTGAAGCTACCCCTAAACACACCTGGTGCAGTCATTTCTCATGGAATCTGCTGTGTTGCTGTTGGACTGCTGGCCCATAATGGCTGCTGTATGTCACCTAGGTGGAAGCTGCACTTCAGTAGTGGATGATGTGAGCCTCCTTCCACAGTATATTAAAGTGATTTGGGACCCTTTGGGATGTATAAATGCAAAAAATGAATTAAAGAACTGTAGGTACTGTATGTCAGATTTCCCTCTCTGAAGATGCTTAATAATGCTTGGAACATTTCTGGTAAATAAAAGGCTTTTCACTTAAATTGAAAAAGAAACAGATGGAGCCATTCTGAGACATTTAATTGTAATTTTACAACAAACCTAGAGCTTTTCTGTTCCTGACATTAAGTGAACTAACATTTGGTGTTTGGACTGCTCAAAGTCACAAAATAGTAAACGTTACAGTCTCTTCTGATATGTGTTACGCATATCTGTGCAATTCAGCTCTCATTTGTTGTGCTTGCAGTAAATATCCACAATTGCATGATAAGCGAAGTTGTCTTTACTATGCCAAGATTGGGACCATGTCAAAATCTTTAATGGCTCTTTAAATGTTACAAAGAAACTCTCTGGAGGCCTCAGAGAAATGGAACTGAATGCAACAGCCCAGAATACACTCTCGTTTTCTTCACTGCTCCGCTGATCTGACCTCCAGCTACAGAAATGCAGGGGAGGCTCATGGTGGTGGTGATGACTGCACTCAATGCAGAAGCTAATTTGAAACGCTTCCCTAAGATGGAGATGACAGGTGTTTATTTGAGGAGCCCTGAGACAGTCAAAACTGATGGCCTATGTCTATCATTTAGCCCTGGTGATGCACTCAATCTTCAGCTTCACTGAGCAGATACAATCATTCCTTTTGGCATACCAAGCCCACCTCTTCTTATACTGTACTGCTTTAAGGGACTTTTGAGTTATTTATTGATAATTTCTTGTAAAAAGTTCATTATTCATTATTAAACTTCATTGTTGCATTGATACAGTATGTCAGTGTATAGCATGTTTGAGATTCATACAGAAAACCAAAATTTAAAGAAAATACAGAAAAAAGCAAAGCAAAAGGGGGAGAACAAAATCTTCAAGGATCTAAATAAACCCTAACCTTGAGCTTCGTTTTTTGTAATTTTATATAGGTCCTGTCCATTGCTGATAGGCAATTTCTAATTCTTACCTATTGCAGGACATATTATGATTAAACATACAGTCCTATAATTTAGTCAGGGGAACCCATGCTTCTTTGATTGTCCAGCTGTAATGTTCTGACCTTTAACCTTCAGGAACCTGCACTCCATGCCATTGTCAAAGGTGTGCTTGACTGTTCAGTTGCACACCCCACCCTGGGTGGGGTGGTGGGTGGTGCCACTGCCTTCACCAGATAAAGTCAAAGAAGGAGGCTGAGCCTGGGCAGCTGGAGGTGGATTCAAACCTGATTTAATTCTGTTGTGTGAGGTATGCTTTGTGAACGTATGCAGTAAATACCAGCTCTTGGGATACCTTATAAAATCCCTTCCTTGCCATCCATTCATGGAGTGTTCTTGTTATTGATTATCAAATTAGTAGTGGGTGCTGAAATTATGTATGTAGTAAGTGGGATTAAGTGACCTGAACCACTGCTTTGCTGAATACATTAAATGAAATTTGCAGGGTATGTTGCAAAAACACTTGAGAGTCTTACGAATTTATCAAAAACACCTATTGCAAAAGTTGCTGACTCCTGATAGCTTGAACAATATTATACTGTTATTGAAAGTTCAGTCACTTGGGGAATTGTATTTCCTAGCTATTCCACTTTAATTAAGTTTACATGCAACCTTGAATGTGACATTTTTATTTAACTGTCCAAAAATATTGACATATCCTATATTCTATACAAGAAAAAATAAGTATATCAGCTGTATTTTACATTAAAGACTTTTAATTTAACATTTTTTCTGCTCAATGGGAAATGCATTGACTGGCTTTTCAAAATACTGTGTCTTTTCCTATATTTTATATAACTACAAAGCAACAAAGGAATTTGAAGATACTGGTTAACCTGTCACTTTAAAATGTGCTAATATTTTTAAATATGATGCCAAAGAAGTATGAAAAACGTAAGAATATCATTCCAATTACATAAAATAATAAGTAATAGGTGTATACCATGCTGAAAAGATAAGAAAAAAAACACTACATCGTTGGAGTGGCTTGGTAGCCTTTGGCTTGGTAGCCTTCTTCGTGTGTAAGCGTTGTATTGCTTGATATAATTCTGTCAGTTTTGTTTTTCCCATGAATTACTTGGGTCACATATATACACATAGAAGAAGGCTCCATAGCTGAGATGTGTTTTCTTTCTTCTCTTTTCAGCATGGAATAAACCTATTACTTGTTCCTTTGCAGCCTATGCATGCTGACGCAGCTACCCACCTGAACTACATAAAATAATATAATTGTTCCAATATAATCTTTATTTCACAGAGTCAGTATTTACTATATTTAGGATAAACTAAAATGGTACTATCACAAGAGTCTAAACAGCACACATAGGAGCTACATGCCCAACTAATTTAGGTTAGATGGGATTAAACAGTATATTTCGGTTAGTATTTTGTTAAAGGTTTGGAAAATATAGATTTAAAAAATCAAACAAACAAGTCAACCAATTGGTCCACATTTCCCACCCCTATCCCCTCTGGAGTCTAAGTAAAAATACACCACTCCAAAAAAACTGACTATTTTAATCATTCATGGCGCAAAAGCATCAATCTCCTTACACTTCCCAAGTACAAAGATGGAGCATGTTTGATCCTGGTCAGAGAAAGTACTACTAAAACTATGTCTTTGAAAATAAGTTTCCAATGTCACCATCAGGTTAGCTAATAGAGAGGAAGCCAGCTCTTGTCAGTGCAGTTTTTAACTGCAGTATTACTGTCTAGCCAACAGGACAGCTGAAACATTGAACCAACATAGAGAAGCAATGGGTATCCAAAACAGTTTCACTGCTTGAAAATAAGGCAACCTGTTTCCAAAATGCAAGGGTGTTAGGGTAAGCCAAAACCTATATACAAAAGTGCCTAGAGTAAATAGGCTATGGCACTGCAAATAACAAACTAAGCTTAGATTGCTAAAATGGCATAGTTGGTCATGAACTCTGTATTGAATATAATTAGCACTGACCCAACCTGGATTGTACAGATGGATACAAAGTAATTAATTAAAAACAAATGTCATCTACCTGTAACATGCAGATGACAAACCTGCTATGCAATAGCAGCCTTTTGTTTTCCTGTTTGCTGCCAAATGGACCCTCACCAGGGTGATTGGCTGATTTGTTAACGTTTGGAGACACTGGTACTTGTCCGGGTGTGTTGCAGAAACAAAGTCACACAAATTTTACGAACTCACATGCATAAACTTTCAGCACTACTTTATAACCATAACTTGTTTGCCATTGATGCATAGCTCTCATACTACACTACAATCCCACAACAATATCTTAGCATGTAGCATATTTTATAACCTACTGTACATGCTAACCACCCTAAAATATACAGAGTATCACAATAACCACAGATGAAAAAACATTTTGTCAGTGATGTTGTCAGGACTGCCACTAGTCGGAATATCTAGCCTTGAGTTTGGTGAACCTAGCAACAGAAAAGCTGCCATTTTACAATAACACCAAGAAAAGAATCAGAAAAGATCTATCC